GCCGATAATTTTAAATAGATAAGTGGAGCTTTTTAAGCACCCTTATTGTAACATCAAAAATGGGGGCTGAGTCACGTGACATTGCAGATGTGTGAAATATGTTTATATTATTTCACGCATATAGTGAATTCCGAATAGTAAGCTCTTTAGCTCTTTTTGTAGTCTCATTCTGTGATACAAGAAATTGCGGCTTGTCTCCGGCAATTGATTAATGAATCAATCGCTTGTTAATTCCCTACTTGGATATGCAGGAATTCATACGCACGCACTAAATACTAATGAATATGAACAGCCTCCACTGTTCATCCCTTAGCTTTCTTTTAGTTTATTTATTCAATATATATTTATATTTATAACGCAACAGATGTAATCAGTGAGCCCAAAGCAAATTAATGTTACAAATGTATCTTGAATAATCTTGGAGGCAATGAGCAGCATATTAGATATTTTTAGGCTAACTTTAATTTGTTTTTATTTTTAATTTTATCTAGCAAATTTTAATATATACAAAATATTAGCTTTTATTATATACTCAAAAAGGCTGACTCTAGTAATGAGCCAAGCACAGTGAATAATAAGAAATTGGCGGTTGACTGAATGTGTAGCCTAGAGTGGAATCGGCAAGTGTATCAAAGTGCCCAGCAACTTAAAAGTGGTAAAGAAACATGTAATGAGTATAATTTAGGGACTGTTATGTTGTGGCAAAGTATTGTTTGATTTTCCCACACTTTCTATATTTTTAGCTTCCTACCTCTATGCCTTTATATTGCCTGTTTTTTTGTTTTTGTCATGAGTTGCATGTCACAGTTTGTTGTGCTCTATAAAAATGTGGGTCTAAATCGATATATTCAAGTCTTAAAAATAACTTAACTGAAAAAGGGGGCAGTGCTGTGTGGGCAGTGCTGTAAACATCATGGTGTTCCTTGATGTCAGCCAGCAATAACAGGAATGTGTATAGTGGCCATCTTGATTCTTGAAAAGAAAAGATAGTGGCTTGAAATTTGTGTTGGGCACCACACAGTTTAGACACATGGCTTTGCATGTTGGCTTGCTGAGGTTAATTGATTATGCGCACGGCAATTAAGAAATAATGTCTTTTGTTATATTTAAAAAAATAAAATAAGAAAACAATTGTTACAAAAGTATAATTAAAAAAGGATATTTAGTTTTTTATTAGTTTATTTATGTGCTGAGGAGAACATATGAGAGCATATGAAAGCATATAAGAAACGGCTATCAGGCAGTCAGGAATTGTTCGTCTTGAAATAAATAAACTATAATAAAAAACTAAATATCCTTTTTTAATTATACTTTGGTAACATGCATCCACAACATTACAAGCTGATCAGACTTGTAACAATTGCTATGCCACCATGTAGATAATAAATTTAACAAAATCCTAAGGAAATTTTAGAATGTTTCAAGGTCCATGGACACTCATCTTTTTGTTCTTTTTTTGGTTGTTCTTTTTGTTTTTTTTTATGTTTAGGCAATAAATTAGCAAGGAGGATGGTCAGCAGCAAATGGAGGAGTGGGTAATGAGAATACAAAATATGAAGATGAGGGCTGGTTGTATGACGAAAAAGGATTCAACGTGGAAAGCCAATGAGTGTGTGTTCAAACATCCTCTGGCATAAGTTGTGTTTTGAAAGTGAAAATGTGGACTGTAGATTTTGCGAGCAAAGGGTTGGTTGTTGAAAAGTCAAGAGGAGGTAAGTGGTATCCGCGGTTGCTGGTGGTATATTCCATATATGAACATGGTGCGTAAAGTGTACTTGGTAAGCAGTGTTGTGAAAAATAGTGGTGGGGATGAGAAACCAAAGAAATGTCTTGGGAAGTGGGCACTCTATTTATATGAAATCTGGCATTCAAATGGACGGGCGAGAAAGGCAGCTAAAACAAAGCTATTATTTGGAAAATGGATGGAAAATATAAAATACAGCAAGTTTTTTGTTTTGTGCCAGCCTAAAATAATTTTCTCACGTTTTTGCACCAAGAGACCTGTATTTGGGCGATATAATAAGCCCAAACTGCCAAAAATAGCAGCAAGATATATCTCCATGTGCTTGAAAAAATGTTAAGTGAAAATGATTTTGATATTTTCAAATATACAAACATGCATTCGGCCATTTTTGAAAGCCAAGCAATGATATTTTTTTTGGGAGGGGGGCAGATTTTGTTCTGAATATTTACATGTATATTTAGTAAATAAGCGCTATGCACTGTGTAAAGGTAAAGAAAAGAGAACATATTGCTTTGGTCACTGTGTGACTTATTGTTTGTGTGGCAAAACAGCCAAGACTGATTAATCAGTTGGTTGCCATCAACCAATGATATTAATCAAAAGATTATATTTATTTCTTCCAAGATCAATTTTTGGCTGCCTAATAGCCATTTCTTATATGCTCTCCTTGGCATGTAAATAACCTATAATAAAACCTATTACCATTGCTTACTTGCCATGCACGTAATCAATTAATCTCAGTAAGGAAACATGCAAACCCATGTGCCTTAACTGTGGCATATTATTTGAGTCAATTCACAAACTGATTTGCGTAGCATTGGATGTCAGTGCTTTAAAAGCATGTTCACAAAATGATGAATCATTTCCAGCAATGACATGTACAGGATGCTGCTTCCATTATTGCCAAAAATCCCATGTATAAGTAAGACATGGTTTTTCGAATCTTCAGCTGGTAGTTTTTAGGCACTCTTGCTTCTTTTTTACTCAACTGCAAATATTTTTATTTTATTTACCAGCAACCATCATTTTCAACATGCAGCTCTTTTCATTCACCACTCTTGCCCCGGTTGCTGTTGCTGCCACTGCTGTTGTGCGCGCTGACGCTTATGCAGATGCCATTTTTTGACAGGTTTGGAGTGTGTCATTACCCAAAGCAACTCTCTTGGTGCACAAAAAGAGTGCAAAAATATTTCAGGCTGGCAGAACACAAAGAAACCCACTGCATTTTCATTTTTCCATTTTTTCAACTGGCAGGGCTTTTTTGCTGCCCTTTTCCATCTATTTGCATGTCTCATTTCATATAAAAAAGGCACTCACTTTCCAAAATATTTGTTGGTTCTCTATCTCTTTCCCAACAACCACCACTTCCTCTAAAATACTACCACCTTTTTTCTAATACACACATATTTTCTAACATTAGGGCATCACAACTACAGTACACGGGCGCACACGTAGCAGCATTAACTTTGACTTTAACATGGATTATCGGTTCACAATACACACCTTCTGTAGAAGGGGATCAGACACATACAACAGTTTTTGCGCAGCGTCATCTATTTCACTACACCAGCCCATATATTATATCTGCCGTCTACCACAGCCACGCTCATTCGCACATCACAAAAAATAATGTGTGTCTAGTAAACACTTGGTAAGATATCTGCAACTGGTCTCATCAATGTCATGTCTGGGGGTATATATGAGTGTCAAAAAAACACAACAAAAACCTGGAGATAAAATAGACCCATGGTTTTTAATAAAAATCGGGCTGGTTCCATTCCATAAGACCCGTAACTGTGGTATATACGGGGGCCCACAGAACATTTGTTCAATATGAATCCGGCTGGCGACACGCCTAAGACCTGAAATCAGAGGCAGCGGAATAGGAGAAGGGCGGGGTTTACCCATATACCTTCTCCAGATTGCCAGCGTCTGGATGGGCTCCTCACAAAATCACAACATGGGCATGGCTAGAAAGAGTAGCGCATGTACCAAACCCAAAGACATGACAACTAGTTGCAAATATCTCTGAGCGTTCAACGACATTTTGCACTCGAAGCTTTATGAGCTTCAAACAGCTATCATTTGTGTGATGATTTTTAAATGGCACTTTACTTTTAACTGTGCTAATTTTTGTCTTTGCCGCTCATCATGGCAGAAAATAAAACCACTGTACATACCACACTCAAAATTTCCATTGAAAAGTACAATTACAAAAATTAGACTGAAAAAGCCAAGAGAATGAATTTTGTAAACATCGCTCGAAAAATCAGATAATACTAGAATAATAAATTGCATAATTTTAGTTTGCATGCACTTTTGCAGCCGCTGATTTAGTCTGTGTTTTAGTTAATCATGTGCAACAGCCATCGAACACGAATATGTCGTGCTCTATAAAAATGTGGGTCTAAATCGATATATTCAAGTCTTAAAAATTACTTACTTAACTGAAAAAAGGGGGCAGCGCTGTGTGGGCAGCGCTGTAAACATCATGGTATTCCTTGATGTCAGCCAGCAATAACAGAAATGTGTATAGTGGCCATGATGGCGATCTTGATTCTTGAAAAGGGAAGATAGTGGCTTGAAATGTGTGTTGGGCACCACAGAATACATGTACAACTATTGGGCACTTGTCCAGCTTAATCTGCGTTGTGCTTAGTTTGCTGTTTAGTTGATAAGAGAGCGTTGGTAAAAATAAAAATAAAATAAGAGATGACAGCAGGCATACAAACAATGTGGCTGTATTGACATTCGCTTGGGATTGTGATTGGTATTGGAGACCATTGCAACAAAAAGCTATCGCAGCAAAAAAATGCTTCAGCTTTTTGTTAAGAAAAACAGGGGATATTGGAGAGTGTACAGCTAATGATACATTCAATTAGGAGCTATTCATTAGGATTGAGATGGGCATATAACCAATTTATACAGCCTGCTCTGCAAAATCGAATCTAGTGCAGCTCAAAAATAACAACGTTAATGTAATGCTGCACAGCCTGAAGACATGGAAGTAGATGTCGAGGTTGAGGATCGTAAAACAAGGTTCCATCTGCATGCCGGTTGATAGGGTACTAATTGGATTATGCAGGCGTAAATTAGGGAGGCATAATAATGATGTCTAGACATGCTCCCCATTTTGCAATGCACACGCATGGGTGCACACACACGAAAACCACAACACTGACTTGCCAAAATACCGGTCTTCTTGCAGAAGAATTAGTTTTTGCCAATGGAGTGCACAATTGGCAATGTGCACAACAAAGGCGACAAGGCACATATATAGGACAAGGCGGGCGTTAGCAACATTTTATAAAAGTTAGTAATAAAACTCTTTATAAAATCACCCCTACTTTTATAACACTATACAACTAGTGCTTTTCACACCCCCTCTTACATAGCATTATTACAAAAAAAATCAAAAGTATAATTAAGGTCGGGTTTGGCACACGCATATATGTGTGTGTGTGCCATCCTCGACCCTGCCCTGCCTTACACACTAGCCGTTATAATCACTAATGCCCAGTACTGACTTTTCTGCAAGCAGCTCAAATATTGAGTGTTTTGGTGTTGCAATCTTTGTGTATGCATGCATGTTATAAAAGGGCAATCATATTTGGGTAATATTATTGAATCCCTGGTCTAATACTCTATAATCTTCTTTGCCTATCAGTCGGCATGCAAAAGAAAAGCAGTCACTTGAATCTCAATCTCAACATTCACATCCATGTTATTTGGCTGTGCAACATTGTGTGTAAAGGCTAAAAAGGTTGTTTCAATAAAAGCCAAGTTGGACAGAACAAAATAAAACAGAATAAATAAAACCAATTAAGTAAAGAATACATATTAGAAATAAATAAATAAATGGCTGTAAATATGTCCATTCATTCTAAGCCAAGAGGAGGGAGTAGATGCGAGTGTCATAAAACTATTTTTCTAACAAGAGCCGAGAGTGTGTAATGCACAAATTATGCGAATGCTTATTAAAATGGTTGCCCCAATAGCTCCTGAACTGTAACACCCATTTGAACCTGGTCATCCTTGCAGACACATGCGGGGATGACATCAACAGCGCCCAGCTCCAGCGACTGCCCGCGTTGCTGCCTCCTTTTCCCTGGGCGCGCGCATAGCATCCACCAGCACCTCAACGCTACCGGCCCAAACCACCCTGCCGACCCGTTGCGGCGTCATCACCGGCACTTACAGAAATACAACTATCCTCAACCGGCCACCCTCTACTGCTGAACTACCCAGAGCCTACGCGACTATCAGCTGCAGCATCTCTCACTGTATAGCCGTATCGAGCAGCAACTCAGACGCAATATCCCGCAGTTTAAAGCTGTCTGAATGCAGCGCCAATTGTGCCAAAGAATTACCCATTCAGAGCATCTGAATGTCCAACGCCGCCTCACTGTCTGCACTCCCTTTTGGAAGTATTGGTCCTGGCGTACCAGGCATGTCACTGTTTTTGTCAGCGTGTGCAGCAGAAATCTAACTCATACTGTGATTGGCCTAGAAGATGCAAAACTACCTGGTATGTGCCGAGTGCTGCTCTGACGCCAATTGCAAGGTAATGCCGGTTATCATCTATGCTAGCAAAAGAATATTGAAAGTGTGTAAAAAATACTAAATTGTAAAATGCGAACTGTGAATTAGAAAGGAAAGGAAAGGAAAAATAAAGAAAGAATAACGTTAAATTGAAATCATTTGGCAAAATAACAAAAATCGAAAATTATGGATGCAATCAGCCTTCAGTAAAATTAGTCAAGATGCGAGTTTAAAAGTATTTATTGTTTACAGTTAAAGTGATCGGCGAAAGGTGATCGGTGGGTTGGTGAATCTGTAAATAAAAGAGGAACAGACAAGAGTTTTAATCTTTATTAAACGTGGAGAAAATATGAATAAAATGTATAATTTTATCTTTTGCAGTTAATTTTTTGGGTCGTAAAAAGATTTATTAAAAACAAAAAACAAAAAACCTAAAGTGCTAGCTTCTTGAATGACCCAGCATTGATCTCGTCCTCAGCTGGTCGCTTAAACTGGCCATTATCCCTTCGAGGAGCTCAATTGCCTTGGGATGCATAAACTCAGGAGCGGCGTCCCAGTTGGCCGTCGGACAAATTTCTTGTCCCACCAGAGCCGGTGGTCCATAACCTTGTTTTCTGGTTCAAACAGAAACCGGCGCATCACACAAATGAGCTCTTTGAGCCTAGGGTTAATATTTTTAACACCAAACTCCTCCAGCAAGACAGCATCCTCTTGGATCAAACCCATCTTGTGATGGCGAGGGATGGAGAGTCCAGAACTTGAACCCCTGAACATCATCTCTCTTAGTATCAGCTGAGCGCACTGCGTCCATAACGACATAGAAAACACTCTCCAGGTCGTCAAGGATTCCCCGGATGGGGCTGCTTCTGAGCATGGGAATTCCCATGAAAAGCGGTGTCCCTGTAAATGGGTCCTTGGCCACCTCCACCTGTCCCACTGTTGTCGCATTGAACCCCACTGCTTGGCAACATCAATGTGTTTGAGTTGGGTTGGCCCAGTGTCCCTGGCAGCATCCTCAGCAGTGCCCCAGCCAATGACCTTGGCACAACCCCAGTCAATGACATACACCTTGTTGTTTTTGACGCACACATTCCTGCTGAGATGTCCCTGTGCAGGACACCAGTGTCATTTGCCTGGGCAAGACACAGGGTCAGCTGCTCGACAAAGCCAGGAACCAGCTCGTCTTTCTGATCGTCGGCCTTGCCTTTCAGATACTCGGCCATTGACTGGCCGCAGTACTCCATGAGCACGAACTCCAGCCGGTATCCATTGAGGTTGCTGATGAGCAGGCCCTCGAAAAGATCTCAGGAATACCTTCGACTGGTCTCTTGTTGAGGATGGCGTATGCAGCACCCTCGGGCAAACGATTGACTGGGGTCCAGGAAAGCTTTAGCACAGCATCACGACCTTTGCAAGTCCCCCTGAATAAATGGACATGGCGCCCAATCATGTATGAATAACGCGCTATTGTCTCCTTGATACAAAACAGAGCAGCACCATCCTTGACATCCTTGGAAACTGAGTATAAGACTTCGATCTTCGAATCGCCCTTGCCATGTCATGGCTTGCTGGTGAAAAAACGAAAGAGTCAGATTCCTCCGAGACATCACAGAAATGCCCGAAAGTTTCGACTCAAGAGTCAGCAGGAACCAGAGCTTTCTGAGGCTTGATTGGATATCTGTATATAAGTATTGATTGCGAAGTGCGAAGCATAGCTGGCCGAGCTCGACGATGTACAGTTGTCACGATAATATGTGTGAAGCGTCAGGATGTGCCCATGGAGGTAGAAGACAGGCGCAAACGTGCGGGTTGCCTGCTGATCATTAAGCAAATGACCGTAATCTGCGAGCTGGCCGCGAGTATCCTCTATGGGTCCACCGAAATCTGGATCCATCTTAGCTCGAGTATAGCATGAATGGAATGAGCGTTCTCTGCGTAACCTTTGTAGTAAAACGCGATGTCTGGCTTTGCGGAGTCTTTGGTATAACCTATTCTGATGGTCCCAGATTAAGCCTGCAGTCTGGGATTGGAGTTCTGCCTGCGAAATAACCTATTTGCGACACCAACGCATCGATCATCGCGTCAAGAGGAGGATAAAATATCTGACCAAACGAGCTTCCTTAGCCAGCCCCATCAATTTCCCTGAGTGCTTTTCGAAACGTCAGCAACGGGGAAATCGCTGAACTCCTCAATCGGGCGATCTGTATTGGCTACAATGCATTGCCATCAGCCACTGGCGACCCCTGGCTATGCTGAGGAAAGATCAGGCCAATCCTTGATAAAGCGTCATACCGCTCCTTCACACCCAGTGATTCGAGAAAGGCATTAAACGATAGTTGCTCTTATGTTATCGCCGAGGCATTTCAGCAGCCGCTGACGGCGCCTATCACGTACTTCGGGGGGCTCCGATTCCCCGGGCGGCAGTTCCTCCTTTTTTGATTTTTGGGGCGTTTGGATAGTGCCGCCCGTCTTGCTCTTCTAATAAAAATAAACAAAATGTTTAAAATAGTGACCGAATTAGTTTTATACGCACGCAAAATAAACAACAAACAATTCATCAATATAATAATGATTTGTTTATATTCAAGTACTTACGCCTGTTTGATTCGGCGGGGTCTTATTCAGAGGAGCTAGCTCAGACATCATTGAGAGAGTGGTGTGAGAGTGACGGTGAGAGAGGCGTGGTATGTGATAAGCACTGAGGTATGGTAAAAGTAATAAAAAGTGAATAAAAAACAAATTGAACGAAATGGTGCGAATTGAGGAAAAAAGCAAATATTAAAAGTAGAAAGCAAAGGTGGAAAGTTGCAAAGGTGAAAATTTGTTACGATAGATTGCGCAAAAAAATGAATAATATTTTTATTATAAACAATAAGCTTTCGAGCTAATTTTAGTGCTTGCATTTGGTTGGCTGAAATATGGAAACAAGAAATAATTATATTTACGGATTAATTCCCAATTGGCATTGTTCTTTTTCCTTGCGCATTGGTTTTGAGCTTATATTGTTTCTTTTGGGAGCATAGAGACCCCACCATTCACTGTTGCAAAAAAACAAGCTTCTCCAAGGCATATACTGAACCAGAGATGCGTCTATGCTCCGTTGCCTGGCTGTCAGACCAATTGAGACACAGAGCCACATATTTCATGTGTCCACGACAGGAGCATAAAATTATGAGCACGAGAGAGCTTCCACTGGGATCTTTAAGACCCAGCTGCAAGATCACTTGGCCGAGATGGTCAACAGACTCCAGGTGTATCCAGCACCAACATATTACATATTGGAGGAACTTAAAAAGTGCGTGGATGCCCACTATCAGGACAAAAAAGCTGGAACCTGGATATGAGGCGCGGCTGGCAGGAGCTGACAGAGGACATTTGTCATTTTATCAAAGCATAAATTTAAAACCTCTATTATAATTGGTCCCCACAAGAGGCTTAGTTTGATATGTGTTCATTGCTTTCTAATTTTTCATTTAATTCGTTTCAAAATAATATTCAATTTTCATCATAGCACAATGTATCTATTTTCTCTCTGGAGTTGTGATGTTCTTTTCAATATAAGTTACAGGTGTTGTGTCGGATTTGCGCACAAAAAGATGGTGAGTATAGAGTAATTGTTTATGTATAAAATTTAAGTCATAAAAACCATGACAAAGTATTGTAAACGGGCAACGACGCCAACATGGTTAGAGCAGATCAAAATCATCCAGCTTGTCGTTGTACTTGAGAATCTTGCGCTTGATCTTGGATGTGTCGACCCAAGTGACAAAGTCCTCCATATTGCGAGTAACCAAAAATGCAGGATCCGTAATAGTATCAGGCCCAACTCTCACATGACCCTGTTCGATTAACCGCACAGCCTCAGAGACATACTCGGCCATCTTCAATCGGCACATAATAAGCGGCAGCCTGCGACGGCAAAAAGCCGACACCGAAAGCTTATCAATCTGCGACATATTTTTGCGCGACGAAATAATGCCAATACTATAGAGTTTCTCCAAAAGGGCCTCTTCGCTGGCCAGTCTCTTGGGGTCGCGCGGGTCGAGCCTTGAAATAGTGTGGACGAGCTTTTGGGTCAGTCGCACGAGCGCACTGTACTTGTGGTACTCTTCGCGCTTGGAGAGGTTGTAGCGCCGGATAACTTCGATTTCACGCACATTGTGCTCGTTTTTCCACTCGAAAAAATCGACCTTGCGGAGAAGCTTCTTCTCGTGGAATTTCAGCTGTCTGACCATTATAGTAAAAGTAGATAAAAAAAGTCGAGCGTGTGAATTAAAGGTTGGGCTTGTTGCTGAAAAAAAGAAGTATAAATTATAAAGGAATTTCGATTTAGCAGCGGAAATGAGAAAAGCTTAATTAATGAAAGCAAATTGAAGAGTGAAGCAAATACAGCCGATTAAAAAATACAACTCATAACCTTTTTTCCATTATTTTTTCATCGCGTGTATTTTTTTTCTTCGATTACGATCACCAGAAAAATAATCAAATCGCTAGCAAAAGAAAAGAAAAAATATAATTTAGCAGTGAGCCATGTTACAGTCAGTTTTTTTTATTGCTAGTGTACAGCAACAACCATCAGATCATAATTTATTTATTTTTTCTCTACTTTTTCTGCTTTCAGTTCTTTTCCCTTTCCACTCATTTTATTTATATAATAATTATCAACCTTTCTTTCGCTCTTTTTGTTTGTCTTTTCTTGTTTAATATTCATACACACACATTATATTATATTATAGATTTTTTACAATGGGAAGGTCTGCTCGTTCAAAGTCCATGATTAGGAACCGCAATGTTATGCGCGAAAAAGTGTTTGGCCCTGTCGAGGCAGCACGCATCCAGCGGTTGGCCGAGAAGCAAAGAGTGACCACCGGCACTGTTGACATTCTGGCTGCCGGCGATGATGAAGAGGCAGCGGCAATCAAGGCAAAGAACAAGATTTCCATCGAGGGTGGTACCAAGATGTCAATATGATTGGCAATGAGGAGGAGAAGAAGAACCTCAAGGTTACTCGACGTGTCAAGGGCAAGAATGGCAAGGAGAGCTCGTCGATTGTGCGCAATAAGAAGGGCCGCGTGTTGTCCAGGAAATGCGCAAAGTGGACTGCCCAGAAGCGGTTCAAGTAAAAATTTTGTTTTCTTTCTATTATATTCATTCCATATATGACTAAAAAATATATATTTACACGATAGTTTCATTGTATACATTTTTTTGCTTGGAGAGTGAGGTCGAAGCACTGCGTATGGGCTTTGCCCCCAAGTACATGGGAAATGGACAGAATATTTATATTTATATATGTAACAAGCTGGAAAAAGCAAATAAATGAATTGAAATAAAAAGGGGGTTGTGGATATGTAAGTATGCGTGAGTGAGTGAGTGAGAAGTGAGTGAGTGTGAGAGAGTGAGCGCGCAAAATAAAAAGAAAGGAAAAGATTGGCTCAGCCAGCGCTACCATTTCAACGGCTTTTTGTGCTTCCACAGGCCGCCGTTGTGGCGGTACAGCGCTTCTCGTCGTCGGCCAGCGCCACGTACACCGGCGTCTCGGCGCCCTGGTCCGGCGTCAGCGGCGCGTATGGGCCGGTCATGTCGGTTCTGACGTAGCCGGGGCACACAGCAGCAAAGATCAGGCCGCGAGGATCGCGTGCAAAGATGCGCGCCAGCATGCGCGCGTAGGCAATCAGGCCGGCCTTGGCCACGGCGAACGGCATTGGCGGAAATCCGTAGGCGCTGAAGGTGCCCTTGCCGACTGACGACACAAAGCCGTTCTCGATAATGTGCAGCCCCTGCAGGCTGAGGTCGTCCGACGCCAGCACTTTGGGCAGGTCACCCGAGAAAATGCCCAGGTGCGCCAGCGCCGTCACCATAAACACCACGCGGCTGCGCGGCCGCATCAGTGGCAGCATCAAAGACGTGACACTGACAGCAGTGAAGTAGTTCATGTGCACCGTCCTGTACGCCGTGTCGGCGTCGCACCTGCGCACTACGCCGCTGCTGTCGCGTACCACGCCGCCGGCGTTGTTAATCAGCACGTCAACGCCCTGCGCGCCGTGCATCAGACGCAGGTAGTCGATGAAGGGTTGGATGCTGTCAACGTCGGCCACGTCCAGCTGGTGGAAGCGCAGCTCGTTGCTCAGCTGCGGCTCGGCCTTGAGCTGCTCGTGCCGCAGCTCGTCGAAGGCCGCCTGGCCGCGGTCGACATTGCGCGCCGTCAGGTACACGATCAGCGGCTTGCTGGTCTGCAGCAGCAGCCGCCGCACGATTGCTTTGCCGATGCCGCGGTTGGCCCCGGTGACGACTGCGACCAGCCGTCTGTCATCGCTCATGCGCGAGGGAGTCAGAGCCGGTGGAGAGACTGTGTGGAAAATGGAGTATGTCGCGAGAGGGCCGTGTTTGTTCCGCGATGCATGTAATACCGGCCAGGCCAAAGCAGTAAAAAATTATGTCGGCCGCGAAATTCTTTGAAGGAAATAATGTACGCGCTGAGCTGAATTGCGAGAAACCAGAGCTGCGAATTGGCCAGAGCGCTGAGCGGAAGCAGAATTATAAGTAGAAATAGAATTGCAAAAATAGAATTGAATAGAAGGAAAACAAAAGGCGCTCAGTCTGTAGTTTGGAAGTTTATGCTCTTTGGCCAGGTATATTATTCAAAAAAGAATGAAAGAAATCGAAAAGAAGCAAATAAAATAAATTTTCTCTTCCGATAGGACGCGGGTTACAAGGATTTGGGGGAGAAATGGAAGGGACGGAAAGGATAGGGAAAGTGAAGGGGCGATAGCCAAAAGGCAAAAGAAAAAGAACGAGAGCGAGAGCGAGAACGAGACGAGAGCGAGAACCACTGGATAAAAATATATGAAAAAGGTGGTATGATTCTCTTTTACGCTCAATATTTTATATCTTGTTCTTTTCTGAACTAAAAGAACATAAAAAGAATGTCGCTGTATGCGCACTACCTGTCCTTATATGCTTTTTTAATATGCTAGGGGAGCCCAAGGGATGTCTTTGTAAAACAAAGCAATACCAAAACAGCTGAGGATGGACGGATGGATGGATGGATGGCTAAATAAACTTTACTCGATGGCTGAATGCGTTTTGTGCCGTCAGCCAAGACTGTAAGCTTGATTAAAAAGCATAAATAATAAGAAGCAGGGAAATGGAGATACAAGGGATGAGGGATGAGGGATGGAGGAATGAGGATGAGGGATGAGGGATGAGGGATGAGGGATGAGGGATCGGGGATGAGGAATGAGGAATGAGGAATGAGGGACAAAGTGTTCCAGACTCAAGTGGAATAGGCTTTTTTGTGGGCGCATGGCCGAATCCACTTTTGTTTTTTTACATCATTGAACGCTCGACGCCCGAGACTTTGATAACTTTTTTGTTCAGCTGCCCAAAAGACAAATAACTGCAACAAATCAATTGAACCATAGCCGATACCCGCTCATTCTTTTGGGCTGAAACGAAGGGGAAGGAGGAAGCTGCTGGCCGTCTAAACGCAATAGTAGAATTCGGCTCAAAAGAGTGAAGAAAAAACATTGACCGTGCATCCACCCACTGTCCCAAATATCCACCCATGCACATTACATTCCTGTTTTCCGTCCATCCATCTATCCGTTTTTCTTTTTGTTGGATGTTTTTATGATTGAGCAGTGTTTTACGTCCGACAAACCGATAATCCAAGAAAACATTTAGATCGCCTTATGCTGTGGCAGTCAGCTGCAACAGAAAAAAATAAAACAGCAGTCCCAACAAATGCAAATACGATAGATCCAGGTTTTTTCAATAGGCTAAATCGCTTGATTAAATCACACCTTTTTGAAACTAGTATAATCAGGAAAATGAAAACATGAAAAATGAAAACTGATAAAGGGACAGGTGATATGATCGAAACGTCCATTTGGAAGTTTCACAAATAAAAAATAGAGAAGCCGCCTTATCTTCCAGTGGCGCCCCACCGCGTTACTGCTGGATTACACACATCAGTCAGGTCTCCACACATGAAAAACGAGGGTGCTCTATACTGCTTGTTTCTGTTTTTAGTCTGCTTGATTTAATCGTTCTTCAGCGAGATAGCAGCAGGAAAACCCAGCGCACTGAAGAGACCACAGCAATTGATAATCCAATCGTTTATTTCACTGGCTGAAAAATCAACAACAGTTAACCAGTTCCGTGCTCCGTGTTCCGTGTTCCAAAAGACCACTTACCCAACCAACCCTGAATTCTTCAGTGGTTCATTTATTTTTTAGTGTGGGCATGCCCTGCGTGTGATCCATCCATCCATCCAGCAGCCACCCAAGTGCTCTGTTGTTTTTGCTATGCCGCGCGATACAACAAATATATCAGTGCCGTTTTCATTTTGAAAAATAACAACAATGCGAAAATTAAAAAAATGACATTTGGCACGTATGTATGCCTAAATTGCTGCTGCTGCTCCTCTTCCATCTCGCACTATTTTGTCGACAAAATTTGGTTTTTTTTCCACTTTCTGCTAAATGTTATTATGATTTTTTTGTTGTTGTTGTGTAGGCACGGAAAAAAGTGGAAAAAATTTCCTTGGCTTGCGGATATAATTATAGATTTCTTCTTTGTACTTTGTGAGCAAATAGAAAAATGGAATAGTTTTAGACGAGAATAAATTACAAAAATAAAAAGGGGGAGAGGGGAGGTGTGAAAGAAATGTAAGAAAAATCTGACGTTTTGAGGATTCCTTTTTCATTTGCTTTCATATAAAGAAAATTCAGCCTCTCTCTTTTTTCTGCTTTTGCATTTTGTTTTTCTGGTAACATCTCAGCTTTTTATTCTTATTTAGTTCTCTCTTTTTTCCAATTCAGTTTTTTATTTAACTTTCTTTTATATTTCTATATACATTATTACACTTTTGTATTACTGTTCCAACCAGTCTCTCTTTCTTTTTTTCTCACCCTCCCGTCTCGTCTTGTTTTTTTCGATATCTTTTGTTATTTGAAAACATATCTCCCCCTTTCCAAACTCCCGGTATACATCTATCTCTCCAAACCATCTATCAGCCATCCATTCAGACCAGAGACCAGCACACAAAAGAAACAGTATAATGAAGTTCTCATCGCTCCTTCTCCTGGCCACCACAGGTCTTCTCAGCACAGCCCCTGCAGTCCACGGCATCGAACCCCTCAGCCTCAATAAACGCATAGTTGGTGGCACAGCAATAACAACGACAAAATACAACTTTGCCGTGCGTCTAAACATCAAAAGCGGCACCTCAGACTACCTCTGCGGCGGCACCCTCCTCGCCGACGACCTCGTAGTCACCGCCGGCCACTGCATGCATAACGCAGACACCAACACCGTATACTCCTCAACCAGTGTCGCGGTCTGCTATGGGTCGCCGAATGTCTCGGAGATGTCCTGCACGACAGCGCGCAATATCTCCTTGCACCCCAACTATAACCCATTGACGTACGCCAATGACATTGCGTTGATCCAGATTTCCCAGCTAAAATCGGGATTCAATATTTTGCCCGTGTACACGGGCAAAGTGCCTGAGAGCACGGTGCTGACTACGATGGGGTGGGGTAAGACTGTGGACACGTCAATTAAATTGCCTGCCACACTGATGGCCGTTGACATCATGGTCGGCGGCGCCGCCACGTGCAAAAAGGCTGAGGGCAGTTTTGTCAACTCTGACGGGCCTGAAATCTGCAGTGTCAACTCGCTGACTCCCGGAAAAGACTCATGCCAGGGCGACTCTGGCTCCCCCGCTATTATCACTGCGGATGATGGAAAAACATACTTGGTTGGATTGACTAGTGCCGGCGTTGATCTCAAGGACCCCACCGCAGCCACATGTGCGACTGCCAATGGTATTGCGTTTTACACTCATATTAACTACTTTATGAGCTTTATCACTGCAAATTCTGGCAGACCTGCGTCGTTCTTTTATGGCCAGGGTGAGGAGGACACTGGGGATGCTAGTTCTTCACAGAGTAAGAGCGCTGCGTCAAGAAGCGTGATTGTTGGCGGAGGCGCCCTGGTGGCTGCCATTGCTGCTGCTATTGTCTTTTAAAACCCTATGTTCCTTTTTTCTTTCATTCTTTCTTTTGTTAGGGTATAATAAAGCACTTCATTTTTTCTTCATTTTTGGTGATTTCAAACTCTTTTTTGATCTTTTTTGGCTTATTCTTCATTTATTTTTATCTTAGGGTTGTTGTTGTTCTGTTCCTCAGTGGGAGAAAGTCAATCTACAATTGGATTCACCAAGCATTGCTTGTTATTCTAAGAAATAGCACTGCTTGTTAGGAATAACACCAAAACAGAGGTTCCCTATCGATGGGATGCGCTCGTGGGAGGACGCCTTCTGAGAACCGGACTCTTGACAATGCCGTTGCGGCTACATGACCCATTTGCTATGGGCGCATTCTGAGCCTGAGACTGAGTCTGAATCTGAACCTGAGTCTGAGTCGGGGACTGAGACGGAGCCAATGCCAGAGACACGCTGCTGCGGTTATTGTCGCCAACATTACCCTCAAAGGGCGAGCTGTGCAACCTCAACGGCCGCGGCAATGCGTTCGACGTCGGATGCAGCGGGCCGCCATTTACAGCGCTCGAAAGCGGGTGCATAACCATAACAGTGTCGCTCAATTGGTCGTCCGGGTGCCTGCGCACAATGTGCGTCGCTTGACTGTTGCTCGACTCCTGCGGCCCTGACACGCGCAGGGTCGGCAGTTCGGGCTCGTTTTCCAGCTGGCCGCGGCCCACCGTGCGCCCCACCATTGCGCTGCTGCTGGCGCTGCGCATGTGTCTGCCAAGCCGCCCGATGGCTGAGGAGCCACCGGTGACCTGCGGCGTCGTGGGCAGCGACCCGGTGCCCAGCCGCGGCGACACCGAGGGCGACGGCGACGACGGCGTGCTGGACCGGAAGCCACGCAGAATAAACCCAACTAGGCCCGATGACGCCCGCCGATGGTGTTTTCGCCGCAGGCGGCTGCTGCCGTCATTCGACCCGAGATCCAACTGCGACTGCGACTGTGCGTCCAGCGTGGTGACTGTGCCGGCCGGAGACACGACCGAGCCCAGGGCCGCAGATGCTGGCGACGTCGGTGGCACAAACGTGTATTCGCCGGCGTAGATCTCAGGGTCGCGCGGCATGCTCCTCGCGACAGCATCGCTGGCGCCCGGGCCATGCACCACGAGCTCGTCAAAGCGCACATCAAAGTGGTCGACGACATCGACCGTCCACCCGGCAATCGCCGACGCCTGCTCCGACACGGACCACCGCGGATGCGGCGCGTCCGCCTGTTGGAACGGCACCAAGCTCATTTGGCTGCGCGCCAGTCGTCGCTTCAGCTTCAAGTACGGCGGAATAAAGCTTCGCTTTGACGACGCCGATGATGATGAAGACGTCGTGCTCGACTCGGACAGTCGCCGCCGCGCAGTGGTCGGACGCTCGCGGCCAGCTGCGTCCAGCGTGTTGGCTGAGTTCCCGTTCGCGCTGAGCTCTCCCAGCGGCGCCACCTCGGCAACGAGCATCAACCGGTACTCGCGCGACACAAACTCACTCGAGAACTGGCTCAGGCCTAGGGGCAACTGGATAACCTGCGATGCGCGGATCTGCCGCACAACGCTCTGGGCTGGCGTTGGTGTTGGCGTTGGCGACAGCAGCGCCATGGGCAGCGAGGGCACCGGCGGCAGCGATGCTGTGGCGTTCTCGTAGTCGCCTGCGGTCTTTGAGCGCGCCAGCGGCGGTGCCGGGCTGGTGCTGCGCAAAAGGACGGCCAGCCGCGACCGCGTCTTGCGCATGCCGCGCGTGATCTGCTGCCGCGAATTGGGCTCAGCGTCCGACGCATCGCCACAGGCAGCGGCGCTCGAGCTGCGCGCGCTGCGGCTCGGTGGCTGCAGCGCAGGCGAGCTGTGGCCGGGGTCGCTACGCAGCGACTCTCGATGCAGCTCCGCATCGCCTCGCGCGGCCACCAGCGGCTCGGACGGGTCCTCAGCCAGCCTGTCGAGCCGGTACGTCACCAGATTGGTTATTTTGTTGACAAAGCGCTCCTCGCCCTTGACCTGCACATGACACAGCACATGCTCGGCAAAGTTGGCTACCAGCATCCGCAGCCCGAAGCGCGCGTCTGATGTGTGCGCTACCACGTCGACTTTGATCTGCGCGCCGGGCCGGACCACATCGCGGCTGATGGACCCCCAAAACCGCACGTGGCACGACCCGTTGGGGCAGCCCACTGACTGATCGATGCGCTTCCGCCGCGCCAGCCGCCGCGACGCGCGTATCCGGCGGCACGACACCTCCTCCTCGTGCACCCAGGCGCCCTGCCCCGCGCCGCCCACATTTCCACCCATGCTGCTCATGCCGCCGCCGCCCAAAAACGATGTCCGCTCCACCACTGCCCGCACAACGTACCGGATTCTGCACATGTCGCGGTCCAGCGACGACGGCGCCCACGCCGGCACTGCAATACTGAATGAAAATATGTGTACGCCCTCGCTCAGCACCCCGCTGGCGTGTAGTGTTGTCCGCTGCCTGAGAACCTCGCGGCTCAGGGTCTTGGAGCTCAGGGGCACCCATGCGCGTAGCCAGACGACTCTTCCCCGATGAACTCTACGCACACGCTGTGTACCGGCACCGGTTTGATGACCCGTACAAGGACACGGCCGCTGATGTGTGTGCTCTCTGTACTCGGGTCGTATCGCCCGTATTCGGCCGCTGTGTCGTCGAATTCAATGCTCACTCCGGGGCCCGAACTCGAGAAGGGCGCCATGATAAATGCGTGCGAAATAGTGAGACAATAGGAAAAGTATAGAAATGTTTGTACAAATAGAAATAAAATAAATAAATTACAAATAAAATTAAAAATTAGGGGCAATGTAAAAAAACAAGAGAGAACCGATTCTGTTGAATTTAAAAATGTGCCACTCAGTACAGCAATGAAATAAAAAATCAACCAGGCGAACAATAAAGAGGCTCGGGAGATGAATGCGCCAAAATAATACTATGAACCTGTTTCAGCTGCATTCATGCAGAGCTTTTATTTTGGTATCAGAATAGGGGGTTGGGGGCTGAGATGAACAGCACAGCGCAGTATAGGAAAATAGGTTTTCCTTTTTTTTGCTCGTGATTTGTTTTTTTCTTCTTTCTTGGTGTATTTCAATGGGTGGGGGAAGGGGGCGAGATTTTGAGGAACAAGCCTGAATTTAAAATCCAAGACCTCCAACCTCACCTGACCAGCAACTATACTTTGACGCTCTCCATATTTTTCCTCCCCTCTTTTTTGTCCATCTTTTCACCTTACTTTACTCTACTTGGCCGCTCTGCTTTTTTCATTGTTTTGAGGATTCTTCTTAACTGCGTACCATCTTTTCAAACCAAACATCCACATTGTTGATATTGTTTTTTTGCTGTTGGGGCTTTGGCTACTGTTGCTGCGCATTTTCGCAACCCGAATGATGTCACTTCCTCGTAACTATTCAACAACAGCAGTATATGTCAAGTATAACAAATACAAATACAAATACAAATACAGATATACTGTACTCATTTGCAAGTACTCCCCTATTATAAAACACCATTCCAGAAAGTAAATCTATTAATATGTAGCTACTCGTGCTAAAATAAAATGCTAAGCTCTAAGTGTATACAGGAATTTGATTAATGTCAATCCTAGTTAATTCCTGCTTGGATATGTGGGAATTCATACGCACATATAAATACTAATGAATATGAACAGTGGACGCTGTTCGTCCCTTAGCTTTCCTTTAGTTCATTTTTGTTGAATATATATATTTTTAACGTAACACCCGGGGACAATTATTATGAGATTTACGAGGTTGTTAACCCACCTCCACTGGTCATCGTGCAATCCCATCAACAATGAAATGGAAAAGCGTGACAAAAAACCCACTGAAGAGGATATTAAAGATAATGTGTTAGTTACACGTGAAATCGATGAGAAGTATCAATCACGGGCAATATTGCTCCTGGAAGCAAATAAAAAGTCCAACGAGGTTACTTATGACTATAATAAACTCGAGAACAAGGGAATATTATGATTACTGACAAAAGAAAATACTTAATAGCAATTAGCAGCAGAATAGTTTTTTTAGCGGAAGGGGAATACAAAGTTGTGCTATTCAGCAGATTAAATTAAGTTTTCAATGTACACAGAGTTCTATAAAACAAGTGCATGGCCATTTGCAATTTTATGTAGACAGCACTATTTTAGTAGTATTAGAAAGTAGGGGGTGATTTATCATTGTTTTATACTATGTTTCTAAAGTACTACTAGCACCGGCCTCGTATTATATATGTATTTCGTCGCCTTTGTTGTGCACATTGTCAATTGTGCGCTCCGTTGGTGAGAACTGGATCTTCTGCGAGCAGACCGGTATCTTGGCAAGTCAATGTTGTAGTTTTTACGCGTGTACGCTCATGTGTGTGCATTGCAAAATGGGGTGCATGTTTGGGTGTCATTATGATGCCTCCCTAATTTACGCCTGCATGATCCAATTAATGCCCTATCAATCGGCACGCAGGTGGAAACTTGTTTTACGATCCTCAACCTCGACATCTACTTCCATGTCTTCAGGCTGCGCAGCATTACATTAACGTTGCTATTTTTGAGCTGCACTAGATGTGGTTTTGCAGAACAGGCTGTATAAATGGGGCCATAGATTATCTAAGTGAATATTCCCGTCTCGATCCTAACGAATAACTCCTAATTGAATGTATCATTAGCTGTACACTCTCCAATATCTCCTGTTTTTTCTTAACAAAAAGCTGAAGCATTTTTTTGCTGCAACAGCTTTTTGCTGCAATGGTCTCCAATACCAATCGCAATCCCAAGCAAATGTCAATACAGCCACATTGTTTGTATGCTTGCTGTCATTTCATATATATTTATTTTTACCAACGCTCTCTTATCAACTAAACAGCAAATTAAGCACAACACAGATTAAGCTGGACAAGTGCCCAATAGTTGTACATGTATTCGTGTTTGATGGCTGTTGCACATGATCAACTAAAACACAGACTAAATCAGTGGCTGGAAAAGCGCATGCAAATTGAAATTATCCAATTTGATATTCTAATATTATCTGATTTTTTCGAGCGATATTTACAAAATTCATTCTCTTGGCTTTTTCAGTCTAATTTTTGTA